TGGCTCTAAGTATACCTCGCTGCACTAAAATTCGTTTTTTATATGGATCAGTAAATCCAGACAAATGTCTCCCATGTGAAATGTGTATGTAAAATATAGGTTAATTCTATTGATTTTGGAAACCTGAACAATTCTGGGCCAAGCAGAGATGACTGAACATATCGTTCACATTTGAGTGAGCAACATAAAACCTATAGACTACTCAATATATTTATGAGAATCGTTGTTTGAGACAGCATCTGACCCATCGCTTCCTAAATGACGAACATAAAACAGGTTTAATATACTACTCCCAAAAGTTAAGGATCATCTGATTCTTATATATTACTGTAGTTTATCTGTCACAGCGTGACATATCAACTACAGTGATATGCAAGAATATATGTCTTTAATGCCCGGATAAATAATTTGTGGGTTAAAATTATAGATCAATCATGTCTCCTGGTTTGAAATATGAGAATTTTTATTTTCAACATCTTTATTATACCATTTAACTGCCAAAATCAGAAAATATGGAAAATGCACATTTTATTGTCCTTGGTGAACATACTATTAGCTTGGGCTGGAATGAATCCAGTATGAGATGAATATGATTTTAATACATATTTGGTGAGGGATATGGATAATGAGTGAGTGAGTGAGTGAGTGAGTGAGTGAGTGGCTTTTATGCCACTTTATCAATACTGCAGCTTTATCATAGCAGGGAACGCCAACCTGGGGTATGAACCTGTGAGTAAATGCTTTATCCACTAGGCTACCCCAAAGCCACTATAGGCTAGGGTTATAATGTCATTCATCAAGTTTATGTTGTGGTTTGTGTCATAGTTTGTAGAACATTCTTGGACTACTTTCTATTCACCATTTTCTCAAGCATGTAAAATTGGATGCAGTGTGTGAAATTTATGCTGCTCCTGTGGTCCCTGACTAGTAAAAATTCATCAGGACCACTAAATGATAAGTTTGCAGTGGTCCTGGTGGCCAGTGAATTTTTTTTAAATTTAAAAGATGTTAAAAGTTCAAATGAATATAATAGTTTTGATAGTTAAGTAAATCTACGAACACCCAACACCAGAAGAAAACCCAAACCAGATACTGAAAGCCTATTCATAACAGCATGTAAGTTCTTGATGGTTTTACTGAAAGGGCAAACATTCAAAACGACACACACATTCTCACTCACTCATTCTAATTCCGTCTGTCAATTATGTCATTGTAAGAACAGAAACTCCAAGACCATGTTTCAGATACTGTCTTCAAGTCCCATACTTTGACATGTGGGAAATAGTTTCCAAAGTTTGCTGGCCAGTCGGGCTAGCTATCCCTGCCTGCAAGATACTAGCCCACAAAATCATTCACTAGTCCAAAATTTGAATGTAGAAACTAAGCAAAAGATTGAAAAAGGTAAAATACCATATTTTATCAGGCCATAATTGATATAAAACTATACTATGACTTAACAAGTCGGAAAGGGTGATATATATTTTTTTTAAATTATCCCATGAAAATCTACTAGCCAGTCGGGCCAGTGACTGTGGAGATTTACTGGCCTGATTGGATTTTTACTAGCCACTTCGCACACTGCACTTTCTCACTCACTCATCCTAATTCAGTTTGTCAATTATGTCATTGTAAGAACAGTGAGTGAGTGAGTTTAGTTTTACACCACTCTCAGCAATATTCCAGCTATATGGTGGCAGTCTGTAAATAATCAAGTCAGGACCAGACAATTCAGTGATCAGCATCATCAGCACCGATCTACGCAATTGGGATACGATGACATATGTTAACCAAGTCAGCGAGCCTGACCCCCGATCCTGTTAGTCGTCTCAAGCATGGGTTACTGAAGATCAATTCTAAACCAGATCATCATAGGTTGTAAGAACAGAAAGTCCAAGATCGTTATTCCAGAAGTAATCTTCGTGCTTCCACTGTCACAAGTCCTTCACTCTGAAACAGATGTCTAATGAACATTACACTATGATCTTTAGTGGGTCAGAGCTCCTGAGTTTCTAACTGCTCGATTGACACTTGTCTCCTGGTGGCCTGCAAGCCTTGACATTTTGTATTCCAACCGTGGCAGATACATCAAAAAGCAATCTTCCAAACTGCACAAAAAATATCTGATCCACATGTAGTGGAACCTGTTTGGCTGTTGAGATAATTTGTTTTCTTAAACAAAACAGTTTGACTGTTTGAAAAACAGGCATTTTAACTCATTTTCTAATTCCCCTGATCTCTGAGGGGACAGAAGAAGCTTGCAAGTTCTGTTTTACGTAACATTTGCGACAGTCTGAAGTGATGGATCCATCAGTTGAAGGATACAAAAAGAACAGAGCTATGGGTTCTGCAGCTTACCTTCCTCAGTGATGCTGCATTGGGAAGATGTGTTTCAGTGATACAGCACACTCTGAATGGCCAGTTTGGAGGCAATTAAAGATTTAAATATTTGGTTTTAATATAACTAGTAAAATAAAGGCAGATTGCAAATCTATCTACAGAGAGTGAGTAAATGGGTACAGTTTTATGCTACTTGTAGCGATATATCAGCAACATTTCAGGGACATTTAAAAACTTGCAATTCTTCCACAGTCCATAGATGATGAGAGCAATAATTTGAGTGAGTGAGTGGAGTTTTACACCGCTTTTAGCAATATTCCAACACAATGTACCCACCAGGGGAATCAAACTCAGGTCTTCATCCTGATGAGTGATCGCTTTAACCACTAGGCTACCCAACTGCCATAGTTCAAAGAAAGACAACATAAAGTCCTGTAAAGGTCTTGATGATGAGCAAAGTTTGGCCTGCAGGGTAAATGGCTGTTGCGAAAAATATAAGTGTTACAGCATGAGTTTGGCAAAACTCAAGAATCTGTATAAAGTATTCATAATAGAAAGTGAGACATACTGAGGCTGTTGAAATTTCGTTTACCTTTCCATTTCTAAGCTCCATGGAAGTAAGTTTAGTTTTATGCATTATTCCAGCTACCGGTATATGGCAGCGGTCTGTAAATAATCAAGTCTGGACCTGACAATCCAGTGATCTACAATATGAGCATTGATCTACACAATTAGGATATGATGACAGTGTGTCAACCAAGTCAGCGAGCCTGACCACCCGACCCGTTAGTAGCCTCTTATGACAAGCACCAGGGTTACTGAAGATCAATTCTAACCCAGATCTTCATGGGTCTTACATCCTAGATGGAGATTTGGGTCCTGAGTGGGTTTTTGGGGGGCAAAAATCACCATTGCCAGATCAAGATGAAACCTTCCATGGAGGTGGTATCAGAGGTGGTATTAGATCTGTCCACAGAGAGGTGTCATAATGACGTAAAACATCTGATTTTAATGAAATTGTAATTAGAATTCTTCTACCACTTGTTTATAAACTTGTGACCCAGTTTGTCACAATGTAAACATTTCCATGGAAGCTTTTTATGTGTTTTTATATTCACAAATTGCTGTGATTGCGAAATGCACCTTCCTTTTCCGGAAAGCTAAATCCACACTCACAATGTTCCTCAAGACAGGGTAACACAATAAGAACTACAAGATCTCGTTATGTGGTGTCCATCACTGTCATTGTCCCAGACACATCTGTCACATGTCAGTACCGTTATCCACACAACTAACAATACGTATGTAGAGGTAACACATATATTGTGTCAGAACGGAGACATATTGATTCCGATAAGTTTTGTTATTTGTGGTATATGTGTCAGATAAAAGAATCTGGACATTTTTTTAGAACAATACAAATAAGTAATCGTCTCTGCCGACCTGCATAAAAATACATCAGTCACAGAAGTTTGGGGGAAGTAATCACATTCCGCATGTAAGGCTTCCAAGGAAGTGCAACTCGGCAACTCCTGGACAAAGAGGTCTGTGTGTAATTAACCATATTCAATGATATGTGTATTGCTTATGTGGGTCATAACTTAATGTTTTGCGGATACCTGGCAATTATATATAAAATGTGTTTTAATCACAACCATTAGCAGTGTGTGAAAATATTAGTTTCCAAATTGTGCTTTCCCATTAGTTTAGCTATGTCAGAATGTTACTAGCCCACAACATAATTCACTTGCCCCAAATTTGAATGTATACACAGGTTTCATCATTACACTGCAAATATGATTTTTATCAGGCTGTAATCTTAAATGATTTAAAAGTATACTAAAACTTAACAAGTCGTAGAGAGTGATATATTTACATAACGACCCCATGAAAATTCACTAGCCAGTCGGGCCAGTGACCATGGAGATTTACTGGCCTGACTGGATTTTTAATAGCAACAGGCATGCAGGCCAGTGGCTCTTTCGCACACTGACCATCAGTGCAGAGTTGTGTCCCTTATCTGCCAGGGTCTGCCAGTTAGTGGTTCAAATTCACATTAACCCCAGTTACGATCCTTTGAAAACATCTATTTGCTGTGTCAAAATTTATTTGTCCTTCTTCCACATCAAACTGGTATTCTGTGAAGTAACTAAAACAACTCGCCACCCCTTTCACTCCTACAACCACTACTTCACTCCCTCCTTCATGCTTTCATTCATTCATCATTCTCTCATTCCATCATATGGTCCCTTCACTCACCCACCCACTCACTCAACCACTCAACCACTTCCTTCATCAGTCATTCACCTATCCGTGACCCATCCACCCATCCACCCACTCTCACCTAGGCCAGTGAGCGAGATTAGTTTTACGCCGCACTCAGCAATATTCCAGCTATATGGCGGTGGTCTGTATATAAAATCGAGTCTGGACCAGACAATCCAGTGATTAACAGCATGGGCATTGATCTGCGTAATTGGGAACTGATGACATGTGTCAACCAAGTCAGCGAGCCTGACCACCCGATCCCGTTAGTCGCCTCTCACGACAAGCATGGGTTACTGAAGATCAATTCTAACCCGGACCTTCACGGGTTTAGGCCAGTGATGTCATGGAAACTGTAGTTGACATGGTTGTTCATGTATTTGTTTCCCCTGTTTCAGGACAGCTGCCACCAGCACAACATGAAGTGATCCTGTTACGATTCATGTAAGTTCATACAGATTCACTCAGTTCACTTCCTGGTAATTATGAACAATGCTTCATCATGTGTTCCTGTGGTAGCCCAAAATAGTACCAATCACACCATAGCCAAATAATTGTCTTCCAACACCTTGGGAAAAAACAACTAAACTGTTTACTAGTTGTAAAAAGCCCTGACAGCATATTTGTTTTCAGCTAAAAACTCAACTAATACATATTAACATGACTATGGGGTATTGCCTCATTCAGCTTGAGGTGGTGTTCATGCTTTCAACCACTGGTTTGACTGGACACACTGTTATAACTGTAACTGTAAAATTGCTGTCTGTTGGTTATGACAACGAAAAATAATTATATCCTTTTCTCAGAAACCAAGTGTTTCAGGGAATTTCAACTTGGATGATGATGGGATTCTTGCAACTGATATGAATGGGGTTCTTGCAACCAAATATGTCATGAAATACCAACAACTGATATGAATGGGGTTCTTGGGACCAAATATGTCATGAAATACCAACCACTGATATGAATGGGGTTCTTGGGACCCAATATGTCATGAAATACCAACAACTGATATGTATGGGGTTCTTGGGACCAAATATGTCAAGAAATACCAACAACTGATATGTATGGGGTTCTTGTGACCAAATATGTCAAGAAATACCAAGAACTTATATGAATGGGGTTCTTGCGACCAAATATGTCATTAAATACCAATGAGAGATATATATGGGCTTCTTGGGACCAAATATGTCATTAAATACCAATGAGAGATATGTATAGGCTTCTCGGGACCAAATATGTCAAGATATACCAATGAGAGATATGTATGGGCTTCTCGGGACCAAATATGTCATTAAATACCAATGAGAGATATGTATGCCGTTCTCGGGACCAAATATGTCATTAAATACCAATGAGAGATATGTATGGGCTTCTCGGGACCAAATATGTCAAGATATACCAATGAGAGATATGTATGCAGTTCTCGGGACCAAATATGTCATTAAATACCAATGAGAGATATGTATGGGCTTCTCGGGACCAAATATGTCATGAAATACCAATGAGAGATATGTATGGGCTTCTTGGGACCAAACATGTCAAGAAATACCAATGAGAGATATGTATGGGCTCCTCGGGACCAAATATGTCAAGAAATACCAATGAGAGATATGTATGCAGTTCTCGGGACCAAATATGTCATTAAATACCAATGAGAGATATGTATGGGCTTCTCGGGACCAAATATGTAATTAAATACCAAGTGTTTCATGGAATTTCGTCTTGGACGGTGATGCTCAGATGGTAGTTGAGGTTTCGATCTCACGACTGGTACTCAACTTTACAGCATGTTTGCAGAATGCCAGAATCAGACTTCCATCAATTAACTGAATTGGACAAGAGTATCATACATACAGTATAATTGTAGGATTTGATAGGTGACAACATAGCCCTCGGCGCCCCTTTATGCAAATACGAATTGATTTCTTGTTGAAATTGGCTCTATTTTTTTTTCAAGATCACAAAAAAATGTGGAAGGCGATTTTTCAAAATTTCCACTCTCTCCTTTAGAATTTCTCCTGCAGATCTGGAGGACAGAAGGAAAACTCAACTCAAAATTTAAACTCAGCTGAAAACCAGAAAACGGTAACCAGTCGCTATTCAGGGATGCCAGAGATATTTGATTGATTTTAGTTTTCAGTATTCTAAACAGATGTATAATTAGTATTATTTTACTAAGTTGTTCAACGCTGCACATTGCAATATTCCAGCTATATGGCAGCTGTCTGTAAATAATTGTGTCTGGACCAGACAATCCAATGACTGTCATGACTGACATCATGAGCATCGGTGTACGCAATGTACGATACGATGACATGTGTCAACCATGTCAGCGAACCTGACCACCTGATCCAGTGGTTGCCATTTACAACAGGCATGGGTTGCTGAAGACCAATTCTTACCCAAATCTTCACGGGTAACTCAGTTATAAAATTCTTGCTCGATACATTTATGCAAACATCGCATTGAGCAACCATGGCCAACATTGAGATGAAACAACATCAATTATTAATTATGTGTCAGAATAATATGTGTCTTTAAGAACTTAAATTAAAGAAAAAAGAAAAGCATTTGAAATAGGTAGCATCACATAACCTATAATTTCACATCCTTTGACTAAAACAGTTTCGCAATTTGTGTCTGTCAGTCTTCAAAGGCTGATGAAAGGCAGAACACAAAACAACTCAATGAGAGCACCACAGACAATCCAACATTTCAAGGGCAATTAAAATCTAGGATATTAAGGAAAGAAAACCCTGATAATCGTGGCGCCTCCCAAACCGGAAGAAAAGAAATTGACGGTCTCGTAAGGTTGTACTTTCAAAGGCGTCTTTGACCCAAAGTTATGGTGTTGATGCATTGAAAATTCCTTTTGGGTTGTTTCAAATGCTGTTTCAATGGTTTTCAATTCAAATTGTCAATGTCTATTTTACTAAGGGTACTGACATGTATTTTGTTGTGAATCTCCTTATTGGTGACCGTAGAATCCTCTGAAATGTATCACACTTAATGAAAGGGCTGTCTGGAAATCGATCACCCTGTCTGTCAAAGAAGCCACATCGTTAAGGCCCCGTGATGGTCTCTACTCAGCTGCCAATATTAGGTTTCCAATCTTGGGAATTTATATACACTCTGTGAGAGACACATTTACCAATTTGGTGTAGACTTTTCAGTTTGAAGCACCTCATTTTTTGCCTTGTCAAATAGAAGTTCTGATAGACCAGATCAGCGCTTCTTGTTGCCATGGTAATCAGATCTCAGAACAAGTGATTTGCAACCATATTGACCAAGAAGTCCAATGAAATTCTATAATTTTAAAGTTAACAATTTAAAATATTCGACCATCAATGAATGGCATTCTGTTCGTAAACAGATGTTGTTTTTTAAATTAAGATATGTGTAAGGGTTCTATTTCTGTGATTGTTTTATATTTTTTTAATTTTTAAAACATTTAATGTAAAGTTTCTGAGGTTATTTTCAGAGTGAGGCAGTGCTTATTCCACAGAGTGATCTGAGTGCCAGGTCAGTTATATCTCCTATACATTAATGCTCACTTGCATCTGACATCATGTCTACAGAATTCTTTGTGGAAAGGGCTGGTCTTATATGTGTGACAATATTTTTCTAATCATACCAAGTAGTAAAAGAAGTTTTATCACATGATTTTGTTGTTTATCTGTTGTTTAATGACAAGGTAGTATGTTGCGTAGTGGGGTAGCCTTGTGGTTATAGCGTTTCACCCCTCACACCAAATACCTGGTTTCTAGGGGTCATACATATATGTATAGGGTTCTTGGGAACAAATATGTCATGAAATTCCAACAAGAGATGTGTATGGGGTTCTTGGGACCCAATATGGCATGAAATTCCAACAAGAGATATGTATGGGGTTCTTGGGACCCAATATGGCATGAAATTCCAACAAGAGATATGTATGGGGTTCTTGGGACCCAATATGGCATGAAATTCCAACAAGAGATATGTATGAGGTTCTTGGGACCCAATATGGCATGAAATTCCAACAAGAGATATGTATGAGGTTCTTGGGACCCAATATGGCATGAAATTCCAACAAGAGATATGTATGGGCTTCTTGGGACCCAATATGGCATGAAATTCCAACAAGAGATATGTATGAAGTTCTTGGGACCCAATATGGCATGAAATTCCAACAAGAGATATGTATGAGGTTCTTGGGACCCAATATGGCATGAAATTCCAACAAGAGATATGTATGAGGTTCTTGGGACCCAATATGGCATGAAATTCCAACAAGAGATATGTATGAGGTTCTTGGGTCCAAATATGTCATAGAAAAACCACAAGAGATATGTTGGGTTCTTGGTGCCAAATATGTCATGAAATACCAACGAGAGATATGTATGGGGTTGTTGGGACCAAATATGTCATGAAATACCAAAGAGAGATGTGTATGAGGTTCTTGGGATCCAATATGTCATGAAATACCAAAGAGAGTAAGGATGAGGCACTGGGATGAACTACATCCTGCAATACCAACAAGAGACAAGTATGGGGTAAATTGAATCAAATGTTTCCAGTCAAACTGCAAAGAAAGTAAGCACTGGATGAGGAGGGTGAGGTGGAGTGAAATTGGGTTTAACGTCGTGCTTGAGAATATTTCTCTCATATGCGTGTGTATGTGTTTGTGCGGCTGCTTGTACTAGCCCAGACTGAAGCTGGTTTTATAGTGCTAGCCCACTGAAACACCATGCCTCAGTGAAGCATGAATACCCCACTCAGATGCATGTTACTCACTCCGAGCCGACCAGTCCTTTTTGTACCCAGTAATGCCGAGAGCCAGGCAGGGACCAACAAGTACCATATTTTAACGTCTTTTGGTATGATGCGGTCGGGGATCAAACCTGCAACCTTCCGCTCTCCAGGCGGACGCTCTAACCACTACACCACGGAGGCGGTCTGGATGAGGAGGGAACACTTGCTGTAATACTCTTCAGGCAAAGTGAAACTTTAATCTTCAGTAGCAAGAAACACATTCTACTGAGGCAACTGTGTCCCAGTCCGGTTCAGTGATTGCTAATGCAGTGTTAAATCATTGGCTCATTGCCTTCTCTGAATACAGTTATGAGTCTTTTAAGATGCAACAGAAAGCAATAATTGTTCATCGCTGTTAAAGGATATTTCAAAACTTTTCAGTGCAGAAAATAAATACACAGCTAAGGGTAAATGCAAAAAACATTTAACTCTGAATTAGTTTGTTTCTTTTTATATTTTTGTGTTTGCTTCTCATTTAGAATAATAATTTCTTGTTAAAATGAGTTAACGATTCACATGGCTACATTTGTAAAGGGCATTTATGTACATGGAGCAACTTGATAAAAATCTGTCTCTCATATCTTCTAACTTTGGCATTCCACTGTTTTCAGCCATTATCACCCTAGGTGTTGCCAACTTCTCACCCA